ATGTATTTGTTTGGAAAAGAACCCACTCTTTTGTGAAATTAAGAGGGTATCTTTGAATATTTTATCATTGAATGTTAATTCTTGCAAAAAGTAAAATGTAAATGGCAATTTGTTTGATGTTAGATTCCTTTTAAAAACTGAATTATTTAAGACAAAAAATGCATATATTGAATCAAGAAAATCAGTTTTAATACAGAATTTGATTATTGGGGCCATTTTTACCTACCTGTCATATGGGGCCATTTTTACCGGGGCATTTTTTTCCGGGGCCATTTTTTTTCCGGGGCCATTCTAACCGTACAGCGGCCTCCGGTATGACATGATTTTGAAAGGCACCAAGGCCAAATGGAAAGGCACCAAGGCCAAAATTTCAAAATAAAAAAGGGCACCAAGGCAAAATTTGATTTAGCCTCTGTATTAATCTCTTGCGAGTGCTTTGATTCATGGCCAGGCCTAGGCAAGCTAGGTCTAGCCAAGCCATCGTTGTCAATAGTCATAATGACTTTGTTTAGAGTATTAACTATTATTGATTCAATGTTGGAATATACTTTTAGTTTTTTGGGGCGGTCGGCGATCGCAAACAAAATAGTCAAAGTTCAAGAAGTACCTACAATATCTGATGTTGTTGCTGAGAGCATCGGAGAGGAGGCCACACCTCTAAACTGGCCGTCATCAACTAGATTAGTCGAGTGTCAACCAAGTATGTTAATTTCACACGCTTGAGCTACGATGACGTCAGTTCACCCAAAGCTAGCTGCACAGCAAGCACATGTTTACTGCAATTACCACTCGAGTCAGACGCATGCGCACATATCAACACACATGGAAATTCTCTCATGTTCTGTCACTGCACCCTTATCTAGGCCTAGGTGACCTACGTTTTTGGCTTTCGTGTTTTCTTTCAAGATTTGAACGTTCTTATTTAGATCTATATTAAGCGCCATAAGGGCACCAAGGCCAAGGCTGCAAAAGGGCAGGCAAGTAGTGGCCGCTGTCGTGCTTCATTTTCAGGGGCACCAAGGCCAACTGGGAGGGCACCGTCGGCAATGGTCGCGATGGCCGCCGTAAAATTCGAGGCCTGACACTACATAATATTACCAAATATATTTTGAAATTATAATAAAATTAACAAAACAATCAGTAACCATGCAACCATGGCCTTTAACACATTCACAGTTCATAAGCAGAAAAATACAATAAAATATTAAGAAAGTTCAATAAACCAGATCTCACTGAAGTTTTTTCTCCCAACTTAGCACCTCTGATGATAATGTTTTTTTTTTGTTTTTTTTTATAGATAAATTTTTTTAGCTAATTATCATCTTATATTATTTTGTTTTTCAGGTGTATGTCAATACCTGTTACAATGAGAGCAATTATGAAGGTTGCAAATTCAAATATTGAGAAATACAGACAACCTTTGAGTTCTTCAGCTGTTCCCGCTAAATTTTCACCTGGATCAGAAAACTCCCAACCACAAAATCCTGGGAAAGGATCTAGTGGAGGAGTCTCTCCTAAACCAGGATCCACTACTATGAACTATATTGCCTCCGGCAGAATAGGAGTTGGAACATCAAGAAAATCGATGTCAAACAGTATCTTATTTGATCTAAGCAATTCAGTAGCTACATTTTTTGCACCTAAGAATGTCAGCCCTCAAGTACAAGAACGCAGTAAATCTAGTGAAGAATCAAAGAAGTCCCAGAACCCAATGTTAGCAGAGCTGTTAACAAGTTGTACAGTAGCAGGAAACAGTTCTAATAATTCTAATGCCAACCCATTACCAGTGACTTCTGACAGAGGACATCAGGCATTACGACAAGACCGAACCACATCTGGGGGCTTACCAATTTTGAAGCGCAAAAATAGATCAATGTCGGACAGTAAATCCCCAAGACAGCTCAGTGAGAGTGATGATACAGTGTTTCTTCCCCAGAATACCAACAAACAACAAATATCCACACTAACACCAGAGATATCTCCCAGAGGGTCATCTGTATCAGATATTTCTATGCCACCTACAACTAATGCAGATCTAAATCAGCTTTTGTCTGCTCATGATACATCTGTACTTATGACATCACCAGGATTAAGTACTTTTACAGATTCAACTAAAAGGCAAAAACTCTCAGGAAGTTCAGATGTGCAATGCCCTAGTCACTGGACAGTTCCTTCCATTCAAACATCTTGGAAAGAACAGGATTACAAAAGTGGATCAAAGAATAGCCAAAGTAAAAGTAAAGATACTCTATCTATTGGAGAGCCCATACAAATAGATTTGCCTGAACGTTCAAAGAACATTGTTGATGTTCAGGATTTACCTGAAAATGTATTTTCTTCTGATAACTTCCTGTCTGTCGGTGATGCTAATAATGAGGATTTTCCTGATTTGGATCCTGATGATGTAAATCTCCTTGATGAAGCTGCAGTGTTTGGAAAATGTGACATAAATAAGGATTCTGCTTCTTTTCTTCATTCTAATCCACTATCTGCTTCTTATCCTCTTTTGTCTAGTGGCAAGCCACCATTGAATAACAGATGCCAAAGTGCAGATGATCAAGTAGTTATCAAAGCTGAAATGATTGAACAAATATTGCCATCTGTTCTAGAAGTGACACCAGTCAAGCAACCGCATATTAAGTCCAAAGGAAAACCAAAGAATTTTAAACCAGATATTGAGGAAAGTTCTTTATCTTCAGATACTTCCCCATCTCCACCAAAGAAAATAAAAAGAAAAGCCAAGAAAAAAGAGTCCAGCAGCAATGTTATTTCCTTGGATCACCCAAGGAAAGGTAAGAAGAAACGTCGACTTGAAACTGAGGAACCCCAAACAAAAGGAAGTTTCACAATGACTGCTTCCTCAGATCCTCTAAAAATAAAGTTTAGTCGTACTGGTTCAGAACCAAAGAAACAGACACAAGTGGCAGAGCCAAAGAAGGTTAACCAAATGCCAGCCAATGTTAAACCTACCAAGATAACACTTAGACTACCTCCCGCAACTGGGGAGACAAGTAGTTTAAGAGCTAGTGATCAACAGCCTAAGAAAGACCCAGAAAGAAAAGGTGCAACGGATAAAAGAGGAAATGTTTTTGAAGTATTTGGCTCAAAATCATCTGATAAGTCTCTAAATGTGGAGAAAAGAAAGGTAGTTTTATCAGAAGAGTTTTCCAAGTCAATTGGATTTAGGCATGAGGGAAAACAGAGCACAATTTTCAATAAGAAAACTGTACCCCAGAAGGGATTATCTAGAGATGTTTCACAGACAATAACAATGCACAATAATGATAAGATGCAATCAGTGCTGAAAAAAGTGAATGTTTTAAAAAAGTCCACCTCTTCACCTGCCACCAAGGCAATTCTAGCAAAGAAGCTGGTCACACAGAAAGCAAGGTTTGGCTCAAGTAAAACAAGTTCAAAAACAATCATACAGGGGCAGTATACATTACAATCTACATCGGAAATCATGAACAAATGTACGTCTAGTGGTGTTAGTAGTCTAAAAACACCTCAAACTGTAAATGTATCAAAGCAGTTTTCTGGAACGAAGGTATCTCTGTCAAAACCACCACCATTAACATTATCACCTTCAATTTCGTCTTCAAGTACAGCATCTCAAAGGCCGGTATCTACACCTTTATCACCATCAAGTGCTGGAGGTCCAAAGAAAAACAAGTCTCCATTTCGTGCTAGGACATTAACCTCAATTGTTCAGGTATTGCAAATGAAAGCCCAGACGCAAAATCCAGAAGATGAACTGAATGAGGCAGTGGAATTAAAGAAAGCATCAGAGCCTCCAAGGCCTCGCTCATCATCCCTCGAATGTGACAACAAGACTAACCTACTCACTAAATTACCATCTGTTGTCAAGATTCAAAAGCAGAAGGTTGTTTCAACAGTTCCTTCAAAATCTCCCACATTCTCAAATACTAGTAAGACAGGTACTACAAGGCTTTTTTCAAAAACGGTCGGCCATAGCACTAAGTTATCACTTGTAACCTGTGGACCATCTTCAACTTCAAGCCCAAAAGTAAACAAAATGAGTCAACATTTGTCAAGAGCTCTACCAACTTCAAGTCCTTCAAATAAAGTACAATCTCCAACATCTCATAAGATACAACAAAAAAACTCTCCTTGTAAGTCATTGCAGAAGAGTCCATCCAGTCCAATGAAATCATTTGTTAAGACAGCCGGAATACAAAGTCCTGTGCCTAGAAAACCTAACATTTTGAGCAAAGCTCCTAAATCCACCAGTTCTCCTAAGACTCAGAATTTAAGTGTACCAGGAAAAGGTTCTTTTCCACAGCCTGTGATCTCTCGTCCCAACATAACCATAGAATCCAGCAAGAAGCAAACAATGACTGTAAAAACAAGTACTAATAACAATATAACAAGCATTAAAAGTACTAGTAGTAACTTGAATAGCAGTTGTAAAACTAGTAGTGCCAGTGGCAGTGGAAGCTTCAGTGGTGGAGATAGTACTGGAAAGACAGCCATTTCTGCCATATCTTCTGATGTATGCAAATTAGAAAATCAAATGACAAAGGAGACTTGCTCAGATGATCCATCTTCGAAGATGATCCATGACTCAAATAATATTGCAAAGAATAAAGAGGAAACACAAAATCACAAAGTAAGCATAAGAAAAGTACCAGAAGAAAATTCAGAACCAACACTTGACAGTTTTGACCAAAGTAAGAGTAATGACGGGGATGCATCAAAATCCACAGTTACTCATTTTAGGGTGCCTACCCCATCAATAGTATCCAACCCAAAACCTTTACATGTTGGCTCTAAGCTGATGGCACCACACTCAGTGACAGGAAAGACAACAGTAAATTATAGCCTTACCTTAGCAGCTGAGACATCAGGAAATACAGTTCAGCCCTCAACCAGGAGTCAGCCAACAACTGATGTGCCACAAGTTGAAGAAGACATTGTGTCTCGCATTCTGAAGAAAAGAAATACTGGTAAATCTCTAAGTCCAATGCCAAGTGATGCTTATGGACATTCTGAAAGAAAACCACTTGTTATTGATGATCATCAGGATTCTGTAAACAGTAGGTCTCCAGAGATTCGACAACAGAAAAGAGAAGCAGGACAGCCTGAAAATCCTTCTAGTGACACACAAACTGAGCCAGGCTCCACTTCGCCTAGGAGCATGATAGTGCAGTCACCACTGTGCATTGTGGCTTCATCACCTCTGGGACATGTCACTTCACCACTTGTGTTACCTGTTAAATCTCCAGCAGCCCTGAGTGGTACAAGTAATCAAGCAAGTCCTTGTCCCATTGATGATGACTTGATGGATGAAGCTCTTGTTTCAGTCATCAGTAAAGAGGATAACTGAATGACAGTATTGATTCAGTGCATTTCAATAGCATTGTCTCCCAACTTTCTCTATCGTTAGCTAATTATGTTAGCATCAATGTACTAGAATGGATTTGCTACAAAGAGGGTCGTAATAGACATTGATAGCTTTTCAGACATTGGCCAGTTACAGGGGAACAGGTATGCCTATGTATTACTCCTTACCTATTAAACCACTAGTAAAACAAACACGACTAATAAAGAGTTTGGGATGCATTAAAAGCCAACAAGACTGTTAGGATAAATTAGTCTTCTTAATTAATGAAATGTCACATAGCAGCTACCACTAAAAATAGGAATTATTTTTGAATTTAGGCTACAAATTATTAGTATAATTATTATTGTTTTATATATGTGACATGACTGGTTCCACTGACTTTTAACAGCAGTGTAACTTTAATATGGTAGTGTTAATGATGCCTAACACTTCCAAGGTGGGTATAGTTGTTATATACTCAGCACGAGTGTAATTAAGGAAGTGTACTGCAACCAGAACTTAACAGTGGAATATAAACAATGGAAAAAAAACAATAGATTACATTGTCTGAAACCAGTAAGTAATACACCATATTTTGTAATTAAACAATATTGATGGTTTTGAGGCTAAAAAATATCTATATGTATCATTGGCAAAAGACATTTTTGTTAATGCAGCCAAGGGTTATAAGTATTGTTTCTCATGCGGAAGGGCAGAGCCCTTATGAACAAAGCCTAATTGTGGTGAGTCATGATATCTGCAGAGTCCAAGGATAAAAACACAGAATCTCTGCCTCTTTTGGAAAATAGAGAGGCTTCATCCTCTTTCAGACAGAGCTGCAATACCGCAAAATTGCGGTAAGCACACTGGCATGGGTTTCTATCTGAAACGGTTGATACGCCAATATGCCAGCTTACTTTAGGCCACCTTGCACCCTAGTAATATTGCTGCAATATTGCGGTAATGGTTACTGGCTTGAAGTGTCTTAAAGGGTCTACTTGGTATTTCGGCAATCAAGCCGGTGTGTGCATTTCTCTGCCCAACCTAAAGCTCAGTTGAACAGGTTACAACGCCTCCAGAACACTTCCACACGTATTATAACACTTACCAATAGACAATTGCACATACCATCTATAATTTGCACTGGCTTCCAATTAAGTCATGAATAAAGTATAAAATTCTGCTACTAACTCTTAAAGCACTACGACTCCAACAGCCCACTTACCTACTTGAACTCCTTCCTAAATATGTCGCCTTATCCTCCCTCTGTTCTTCTTACCTTAATTTGCTCATTGTTCCAAGAGTTAACACCAAATCCTACGGCCACAGATCATTTTTATTTTCAGCTGCCACACTTTGGAACTCCCTTCCAAAACACATTACCGAATCAACTTCAGTTGCTATATTTAAGACCAAACTCAAAACCCACATTTTTAACATCTGGACATGCTCACAGCCTTTGATTTTTACTTCGCTTTAGTGATATTGGCGCTTTACTAAATTAAAATGATTATTATTTATGCATAAACAAATAAATTGTGTGGTGGTATTTAAACCGCCAATATTAGTACGTCATTCTATAGTACCCTTTCAGACAGGAAGCCATTAGAATACAACAATATTGTGGTAACAAAGGCGCTGTGTGAAAGGGTGTAGACCGATTATTATGCCAGCATCCTTACCGCAATATTGCTACGTCTATCTGAAAGGGGCTTTAGTTAAGTGATTTAAAATACTGTAATATATAAATACCTGTCTTGTATTCTGCGTAACATAAATCAGCAATTTAGATTAATACCCTGGGCGTTTATGGGTCTAATGAACATTAAAAATATGTCTTGTAATCAGCGTTGGCGCCAGCAGAGGGTCAAGGAGGATAAAATATACTATAATTTTGGCATTTATTTTTATTATGCCTGCTGGAGCCTTGAAATTCCCAAAAAGAAAATTTATATTTATTTCTCGATTATATAAATTTAAAGCATCCATCCAATTACTACACTTATTACATTGTAGCAGCGCATTCTTTATGGTCGGGCGAAAGCAATAGGCACCCTCTATTACTTAGTTTTTATTCATCAATAAAATTTTATTGTATTTTTCACCTCTGCCTAGATGCTTTTAGCAAAACCATTTTTCTAAGTAAAAAAAATAATTCACTGATCAAGTTATAAAAAATGTCTCCCCTATCTAATAGATTTGAGCTTAATCCAGATGTAGGGCCACTCAAAACTCTGCATTCATTATTTAATATTGGTTGTAAAACTACCTCACAGATGACATTGCCATTATTTTATAAAAGTGGCATTTATTATATGTCATACTGTATGTGGACAACATTGACCTTTGAAGAGCCGAAAATGAAAGTGCTATCTAGAAATTGTATATAGGATTGGTTTTTAGTTTTTTGTTATGAATGTGTATCTCCTGTGAACATAAAAATGATTGCTGGTAACAATAATCAATATGGTACAGTATATTAAACAAGATGTTTTAGTTTCATCTAGGTTTAGAGAATTCATAGAATTATTTTTTTTTTGTGGAAAAAAAGGAATTCCTAATTTATTAATTTCTGATATAATAATATATCATTATTTGATTCAATAAAGGACAATCCTTCCAATGTTAACATTGTTTTGTTTGTGTATGTTGGTATTGATATTTCTTGTTAATTTTATAATTATTTAATTCAGCAAATATAAAAAATTAACACAAGTACAAAATCAAGTGTTAAAATAAAAGAAAAGCAAATATTTTTTCAGCTCTAAATAATTTATAACCTGTAATTAATATTCCTTAAAGCTTTTAATATTTTAAGTTTGCCCTTTTAGTATAAAGTTACTTATATTGCAGTTTTCATAGCATAGCATGGGTGCTTACCGCCTTAGAATACTGGGTGCTGTAGACTTTTATATATGTTTTTCTTACTGATTTCTGTATTGATCTTGGTGTAGAAGTATCGTTTATGTTTTTCCGTCTAAAAACCATACTACGTTGGACACTGGTTCCCAAAGTTATGCAATGTCAGTGCCAGTATAGTACTGGGATATATTTCTTTTTTCTACAAATTGATTTCTGTAGTGATTTTGGATTTTAATTACCATCTTAAAAAACTAGGTGTGTTTTGAAGCTGACATCCTGAAAACATAATTATACAGGTACTGTAATATGAAAATCAACTAAAAACCACATCAGAAAAGCAAAAATTGAAAAGCAGGCCATAACTTAGGGTGGGGCAGGAAGGCTTTTGCCCATCTGTAAAAATTAAAATCGTAGCCAAGTATTGGGAAAATAACAACAAATAAGCATCATATATTGTAAAACTTTTAATAATAACCCATTAATAATTGGTAACCCATCCAAGAAGTCTATAATGATAACACTCTACAGTACCGTAATAGTATGGGGGTGCAATTTGGCACATTGCTATTTATGTTCGTTAAAAGGCATCTGTTGTTGCAGAAATAATTATGTGTTTGCAGAATTATATTTTAAAACTATTCCGGAATTTATTCCGTGTTCGTTTTGTGTTAATTTTATCTGAATGTGTTAACGGAAAATAATTATGTACCACAAACTTATTACACTGTTATATTATATGTACAGAATAAATTCTGTGTTAACATAAATCCAGTAATTATGTACCACAGAATTATTACTGTCTATTGTGTTCAGAATTAATTCTGTTACCACATAATTTGTTTTCTGTCACCACAAATTATTTTGGTTCCCATAGAATTAAATCTGTCTACTCAGCATTTATAGCCAATAAAATCACCAGATGTCCAATGCTGTCAAAAGTCTTTAGAGACATTACCCCTAGTAGGTGTTGTTTTGATTAGTCGAACACTTTTGGTACTTGTGTATATAAGCTTGCAAATATGGATAATTTTTCATTTCTGATGACATAATTAATGTTGAATATTGAATTGCGACACAATGGCGTGCATTTCGATACTTGGATTATGTATTATACTATCTTAATATCTGAGATAGTATGAAACAATCTCCGAAAAAAGTGACACAAGCCATTGTTGATTCATTATTGGTATCAATAATGGCTTGTATCTCTTTTTTCGGAGTTTGTTTCATACGATCTTATGTCAAACTTATCGGTGAATCCCATGGTTTCTTATATCTGGGATTAATAAGTAGACCTTTCGGATTTTTACTTTCATTTTTGATTTTGATCGTTTTAAATATAAAGCTATTGAATTTGGTAGACACAGCCTAAACAGTACGTCATATCGTGTGTATAGAATATCGTAAAATTAGTGTTTATAATATATCTGCTTGCTATATAATGCTTGTATTCATATTGAATATGAACAAAGTGTTTGTAAGAAATCAACATTAAAACAATACATAGAATTGTACCTGCGTGTCCGAGCATTTCTAAACGTTTATATCCTTTAGAATTAGTAGTACTATAGCAGTTAATTATTGCTGTACTTTACACTACTGGTAGGGCAAAAATTACCACGTCTGGTAGGGCAAAAATTACACCTATACATGTTTCTCCTGACGCAAATCCAGTTATTGTTTATTATACCATCACGACAATAACAATTACTATCAACACTGCAGTACCCGCTGCTTACTTGGACTCGAATTCAACCCTGGCCATCAGGCGCAAGCTCGTTGGTCTAGAGGTATGATGCCAGGCTAGCGATCTGGAGATCGTGGGTTCGAGTCCCACCCGAGAACAACTTGCGATTTTTTCGCAGTTTTCAAGTGTACTGAGAGTATTCGGTACATTTCCAAGTCTGGTAGGGCAAAAATTACACCTATACATGTTTCTCCTGACGCAAATCCAGTTATTGTTTATTATAACATCACGACAATAACAATTACTATCAACACTGCAGTACCCGCTGCTTACTTGGGCTCGAATTCAACCCTGGCCATCAGGCGCAAGCTCGGTGGTCTAGAGGTATGATGCCAGGCTAGTGATCTGGAGATCGTGGGTTCGAGTCCCACCCGAGAACAACTTGCGGTTTTTTTCGCAGTTGTTTTCAAATGTGCTGAGTATTCGGTACATTTCCACGTCTGGTAGGGCAAAAATTACACCTATACATATACTTTACACTACTCAAATAATCGACCAGAAATTCAACACTGCCTTTTTATACTTTCAAAGACCATGTTGTATGTAAACACTGCCTAGTCAGTTTGTTAGACTAAGGTCAGGAGTTGTCAGATCTAATTTTTAGTTCCTATGCATGTAATGCAATAGGAACTATTGTAATCACTCTTGCTATTTCCTATGTTTTTTATTGTGTGTAGTGTGTATGTGTGTGTGTAGACATTTATGCAAATGCGCATGCGTCAAAGAAAAGTTTTCCGACATTTTGTTTTACATCGCAATGCGAAGATCGATGTGAAGTTTCTGCAGAGTTCAGTCAGGGCTCACGCTAACCGACCGGAATGTCGGCATGGATGAAACTATTTTGGTCTTACGGCAAAAAAATCATCTGCTGTAGGCATAGGTATTTTGAAGAAGGCCTAAAATAAAACTAAAATGTTTTAATACTTGGTGAAATACATCGTTTCTTCATTTAGATCTCCATTTTTTACTTAGTCCATGCGACGTTTTTTTCTGTTGTATACGTATGAGTAGTCATATGAAGGTACTATATCCCCGACAGTTGGCTGTGCACCCAGCAATGTACCCTTTGAATGCAAACTGAAAACAGGTGAAAATATAAAGGCAGCCGACTGTCGGGTACATAACGACTATCTAGCTTTCCACAAAAACATGAGGCCTAAGCTAGGCCTAGTTCAGTATTACTGCGATGCAAGGGTAGGCCTATTTAGATCGTTCAATCAATGATATCGTGTTAACGTCTAATACAATTAAATAATGTGTGTAATATTTAAGAATGCACCACGTGGGTCGCTTTCTTTGTTATGCGATTGTAGTGTAGTATACGTAGCAGAGTGACGACAGCAAGCTAAGCCTAGCCCAGGGCATAGATCGTGTACGTTCTTGATAATCGTAATGAAAACTTCGGGTGATAGACGATTGGGCCCAACTGGTGTGGACGATCGGACCCAAGATATTTTCAAATAAATTGTAGTCCTAATAGCAGGCCACTGCCAGCACCCCCACTTCCGATATCGTTCCAAACTACGTACTGTAAAATGAAAATACTGTATACGTAGCTAGGCCCTATGCCTGCGATATTTTTTCAAAGAAATTTGCTAAAAATGTTACTGTAATTTGCCTGTCGAATTACATTACCAATGTAGTCTGAAATCACTATTTTGGGCCATAAAGACTCCCCCTGTATTTTTCAACCACCACA